AGCTGTCTGTGACAAGTGCTCCAGGATCTCTTCTGGCCAAGGGTCTTTTCCAACGTGAATTGTTGTATGATTTTGTCTGCTGCAACCTTTCAGTCATTGCTTTCATTGCTCCAAACTCAGGTGCCAACTGCTGACAGATCATCCTCTGTCCCCCCTCTACGACTGACAAAGCCACGTGCTTTTAATCCCCTACTGACTGAATACCACATCCCTGACCATAAGGTCAAAAAGACAAACAAAAAAAACCCAACAACACAGCACTTTGTACCATCCTGAATTTCAGAAATAAAAAACAAACCTCTCTGAGAACAATGCTGTTATCCACCTTATATTTCAATTTCCTTAAACTCTCTGGCCTTTGACAGCAAAATGCTCATACTCTCTACAGGAGAGATGTCCTGCTCAACAACATTCCATGCCGAACAAAACACTTCTAAGTCTATCAAGGGCAGAATATAGTAAACCATATCAACATAGCTGTATTATGCTCTCACGGTATCTGCGGGCTACTAACTAAAATATATTTGTGTTACAGTAAAACATGAGCTATACGGTGTTATTTTGTATACTTGGAGAAGTCCATTTGGTAAAATGGCTTTTAGGTTGACATTTAGGCACCTAACTTGAACTACAGTTTTAAAATTCTTGAAAATTACAAAAGAGATTTACCACATGGAGGAGTCTCAGAAGTAATTTTAGAAGAATTGGAATTTCTGGTAGAATTTTCTCGTACTGATATATTCTGCAGATTAGATGCATTCTCTGCACCATCTCCATCCTCCTTTATGCTTCTGAAAACAGAAAAAGATATTTTTAGAATAAAGGGTTTAAAAGTATGTTTAATATTTAAAGGATTTCTAATCATAGTTGTAAATACTTCTGAAGTTAGGTTTTTCGCTCTCATAAATACCTTTTCCAGCTTGAACTCTCCAGTTGTGAAAAAACACCACCAATATACTCTACTGTACTGACTGGTAACCATTCAAAAAAGCCACTGACCAAGCCACCGTAATAAAAGATAACAGAACTGGAATTCAGAGTTCATATTTTTATGACAATCCTGATTATCTGCATCAAATACTATCTGAACATAACAAATTGGTACTTTCCTTTCCATGATGGTAAATGTGGCTAAAGAATAAATGAAAGCAGACGTCACAAACACTATTGTCTCTGTATTAGAAGGAAAAAAAAAAAAAATCACATACCATTAATCACAAAAGAAAATATCCAGTTAAAATGTAATACCATGTTCTCATTAGTGAAGCAAATGTTGAGAAAGATTTGTAAACACTTACAAAGGCTCCAAATTCTCTGCATGATCTAACGCTTTCACGTGCCTACACAACTTCTGAAGTTGTGTTAGATGTTCTGGATTGTCAGTTCCCAGACCCGTAGACAAAATCTCAGATCGAACATTGTATTCAACAACAGACATCTTCAAATCTGGAAGCCTGGTAGCCCGGATCTGGAATTACCAAAAAAAAAAAAAAAATAAAAAAGAAAAAAAAGCTAAATGGAAACCATAGTTTATAAATGGTCTCTCTCCAACTCTAACCTGTTTTTTATGTAAAATTTTAAATATAGCCCTGTTTATTTATACCTGTAAGCAAATTGTTTTGTCTGATTTTCAGGCAGGAATCTACCCTTCTGATCAAGTTGTCCAGATCATGAAAAAAATAAAAATTCCCTAAACCTGTGAGCTACCTTTGGTAACAGTTCTTCAGAGAACTCTGTGCTCGTAAAACAAAGTTTTTTCTTAAGAGACTTGATAAAAAAATCCAACTAGCTTATTCATGCCATTAGTAAAGTCTTAAAAGGTACCCGACTTGATCTTTTGACAGAACTGTCAGAAACAGATTGTAAAATCAAAAAAAAAAAAATCCAAGAACAAGTTGCACCCATTCCTCCTACTCTGACCAAGAAAATTAAGGAAAAAAAAAAAAGCTTAAAAGCACTTTGTAGTTTGCATAAAAAAAGTAGTCTAAACTAGTGTAAGAATAATAAAAGACAGCAGAGACTCACAAATATGAACACAACAAATTAAGATCAGTACAACAGGTCTTAGATACCAGCAAACAATCTTGGAGGATCAAAGTCTCATTCTTTCAGAGGAAAGTGTGATGGACTGTAGAACTGATTTCCCAAGACAAAACTCTAAATCCTGGTACTTTCAAAACATAGTTTTGTTATGGACGTACTGGATAACCTCTATAATTAATTCGATGCTCTGGTTACTGTTGCACATTCAGCTGTCCAGATTTAAAGTTCTACTCAGTATTTTTTTTAAATTCATTTTACTCACATATTCCACCTAACCACAAGCCCACACAGTCATCACTGAACGGCTGAGGTTGGACAGGACCTCTGGAGGTCGTCTCCTCCAACCCCTTGCTCAAGCAGGGTCACCTGAAGGCAGCTGCCCAGGACCACGACCTGACGCTGCCGAGTAGCTTCAAGGACGGAGACTCTACCACCAGTTGTTCCAGTGCTCAGACATCATCACAGTAAATTAACACACAGTATTACGTGAATACCACATAGAACAAAATTAAAACAGCAATAGAAAGAAAGAAGAATGGGTGCTCTTGTCATAAAAGGAGTTTAGACACAAATACTTTGTAATGCTACAACTCTATACGTACCATTGGGTCAACCCAAGCTGTATTTCCCAAGGTATGTACTATTTTTGCTTCATGTAGTTTTCCTTTAATTTTGTGATGAATATAATGAGTCACCTAGGAAAAACAAATTTTCACTGTACTTTAGATGTACACCAATGTAACTTCACAGTTATTTTAATTATAATGAAAATTTTCTGAGCTACACGATGAAAAGGGTATTCAAGAAATAAAACATTTTGAGTAAACTAGTGAAATACTCCAACTTTACCGCAGACTAAAACAGTATTAGACTTTAGGGAAACAGCTTCCTGAATGGAAGAATACTCAAACACAGAGAGAACACTTAGTTTACAGAGGCTACCCTTCCACTGTTGCTCCCCACAGATCCAAAAGCTGCGAGAATGTGTTTTAGAAGAAGCCATTTAAATCACAGAGAAGAAAACCTCATGAACATCACTTTGTTATTTTGTAGGAAAACAAACACAGAAACTGACTTCTTAGAATCTGATCCAATAGCAGACCTTTATTGGTAATACTAATAAGCAACGAAATTTGATAATTAAGTTTGCAGTTTATAACTTTTCTTGTAGAAAATAACACACAGAGAGAAATTAAAGAACGTAAAGGAAATACCATGCAAATCCTGATAAAAATTACCTTTGAGTTCCATTCAATTTCATTATCAATGGGTTTCACTCTACAAACTATAAATTCCACAGCCTGAGGTGGCAGACACTGAAACTCTGCAGGTAAGTGAAGCAGCTGATAGCTCGGAACTTGACTTGTTCTGCCTTCATCTATATATTTAATTTTGACTTGAAAGAACAAATTTTCCTCCTCTTTTGGGGAAATCTCTACCACCTGAACCCTTCATACAGCAAGAGAAGAAACAATTATTATTCATATAATCAGTTGTAAAAAGTTTCTTAATCTACTCATTTAAAAAATAGTATTTTCATAGCAAAATATCCCTGTGTGTACACATATGGGTAGCCATTCTGTTTTCCATTTGGTAGCTTAAGGAGTATGTGATAGCATTATAAAGAATTATTTGAATAGCACTGATTTTTCTTCCTGGTGTTGTGGGTAGGTCAACTAAAGAGTGAAAGTTTTAAATTACATTGTATAAGAAAGTACACAGGAATAATTTTAAAAAATCCAACAACTTTACCTGTGAAAAAGTGTTTTCTCACATAATCCATAAAATGCCAGCTTCTCCACAGTTTTAACTGAAATTTTATTATTAGGTTTCTTAAAATACTCATTGATTTCTTCATTAAGAGTTGTATATTGGTCCTTTTCTTTATCTACTATTCGACCAAAATAGTTGGTCGCATTTACAATGTGGAGAGGTAGTATCTGAAAGCGTAAAATAGGGTAAAGCAGTGCTGGATGATTTTCTTAAATTAACGAAGTCACTCTACAGATGTAAGGAATAAAAAGAATAAGCCCTTTTCCCACAGAATAGTTATTTCCAACGCAGAACACAATCTTAAGCAAACTCAGAACCACCTGCAAAACCATTTCAATTCAAGCTAAGGATTAAGGGAAAATCTGGCACACTTGTTTATGCAAGAGAGCGAGGAAAAAAAGATGAAAAATAGCAAATATCCAAGGGATACAGTACACATCCTACAGTTAATATTAATGTAATACGAAAAAATAAGATGCTAAACAGCATCAAGGTAAATAGTAACAACTTACTGTCACACATCCAGGTGTTTGTATAATTTTATCCGGTATATTCTGGGACACGTCCATTTGTAAATTAATTTGATGACGATCTGGACATACTGTTCTATTCCTATGTATTAAGAAAAAAGTTTTCATTTTCAGTTGTAAACTATTTTGATGTCACTTACAGCAGTTTTAAACACCAAAATTTCATGAGCCCTCAATATTCAATTTCTGTCTCAAATAGCACCAAGGAGGTGGTTAGACAGAAACAGCTGAAGAGCTCTTGGTGGAAAAGCTTGTCCAACAAACAGAAAAACATCAGAAAACTTGTCTCAGAGTAAAACAAACACTAACACTAAGTTTTCTGTTACTTGCAATGAGTTACCTGCACTGGAAGTCATACCTGGTAATACTTTAGTTTCCTCCTTCCAGCACTACTTTCAATCCAGTTACACAGAGCTCAGAGAAGTCATCACCTACTTACCCACTTTACAGGGGCAGGAGACAAGAGGAGAGAGAGTACAGCACAAACCCTGTGCCATTATAGTTAGAGTATTAACCAAAACAACAGCTAAAAGCTCCCTCAAGTACACCTAGGCAGGAGTTTAAGGAATTATGCTACTGTGTCAGACCAAGTATGATTCGTGCCTGTAACAACGTTAATGATTTTGTCTTCTTAGTACCACCTAAGAGTGAAACAAATCCAGCAGTGAACAGAAAAAATCTAAATAATTATCAAAACCTTGTCTGAATAGAGGTAAGAGGAAAATTCATCCAGGAAGTAGAAGCAGTCAGCATCCACAGCACACAATGCCGTCCTGCATCAGTACAGGTGTCCAGAAAACTTGCTATTTCCTTACTTGCAAATGCCAAATGTTTTAAGATAGGCACACAGTGGCCTTGACAATTTATCTTCTTCAGCTTCCAGTGTCTTGGCAGTCAAATCATGCAGTTCTGGTGGAATTTCAGCTTCTGCGTGCTGCAAATAGCGCAGGATCCCAAGCGCGTTATTACAAGCACTGTTTTCTGTTAGAAGAATGACTGACTTTGCCTTTGTACATTCCTGATCTACAGAAGAATCCTAAAACCAAAATTGCACAAATATATATAAATATAAAAACTATTCTGTATCCACCACTTAATTAAATGTAGTATTATCCCATTAAATATTTACTCAAACCTTTATCCCGTTATAGAAGTTGTCAGAAATGCTGTGTAGACGCTGACCAAAGATTCTTGGAGAAGGAAAACCGAAATGTATCACGCAAGTTGCATCCGTAATTCCCAAAGACTGCATGCAGTCATCTGTTAAAACTAAGCACACATTTCAGACACACGTGTAAGACAGATGTCATGTTTTAAGCATGCGAAGTATCACATCACATAAGCAATGGCTGTTTCCTTCTCCCTATCCATCAAGAAAAATCTGTTTTCCAAATACACTTAGGCAAGGCATTGTATTTCTTCAGTCACCACTTTGTAAACGTGGCAGAAACAGCATTTCATGATAGAGATTTAAGCTAGATTATTAGAGACTATCTCCTATCAGCACCACTGAATAAAGCAAATTGCCCACAGCCAAGTGCTTTACAAGAGTAAGGAAATGAAGTAATGCAGGAACAGCAACACTTCGTATGTACCTACAAAACAGACGTAATTAAGTCAATCTTCTTGCTTCTGACATACAAAAATGGAAAAAAAGTAAATTACAAACTGGCTAAGAGCCTTTGTTACTGCAAATAACTTGGAAAATAAAATTCTACGAGAACATACGGGAAATGATTAAAGTCTTGGGAGTTTCTAAACTATTTCAAAGGGAAAATATCCTCTGTAGGAGGAGACAACTGTTAAATCAGAGAAATAATTTCTAAGTGCTAGTTACCCTTTCAACAAACGCAGCAGAAAAATTCCTTTAAGTTCTCTCTAATAGGTAAGGTTCTCCCCTCACAGCAGTTAACCCCGAGACCCAGGAAAAACAGCTACTTAGCTGTAGCATAAGTAGAAGGATAACTATAAAGAACTTCTAGGGAACTGACCCTGTGGAAATGATGAGAAAAACTAGTTTAAGTATTTAGTGTAGAACATGAGTCACCATGAAGAAACTATCACAATTAAACAAACGGAAAATGCCTACCTAACACAATGTGGCTCCCAGAACGACACTTTTTTGTCCACTGCTCCAAGATATACTTGACATTAAATTCACCCTCTTTATGTATTTTCAAGGAAAATATTGAGTTGCTCTTCAGTGCCTGGACATCAAAATAAAAAGTTACACCTTCCTCCAATACAGCAATACCTGTTCCAATGAACAGGTAATAAAATGGTTTATCTTATTAGTATCTAGCATACCTTAGCTACTGTAAAGAGAGCAAGGGACACAGTTTGTGAAACCTGGCTTGCTTATATAAAACAAACAAACAAAAAGATTATGGAGATTAGGTCTACTAATTTCCTGTATAAATAGAAAATTACTAAAACTCAGATTCCTCCAGAGTAGAAAGCAACAGAATAGAACTTCTTAATGTGGTGGTTAGAGTTTTCTACTCTCATACCACTCCTGGAAACTGAAAAAAAAAAATATTAAAAAAATCTGACAGAACTTTTGCTGGAAAAACATATCGGTCTGATTTAACTCCAAGTTCCAATCTGACAGATAGAACATAGTTAGGAATTTAGTAATGAACACATTCTATGCCAGACATTCCTGTCAGTTAGGCTTTATTCTAGTTGGCAGAAGGGCAGGGATGAAGCGATTTTCAGCAGAAATAATTAAATTCCAAATTCACAGTCCTCCTTTATTCTCCAAGGCCAAAAATATTTTATTTTGTTATACCGTAACAATTAAACCCCACTTATCTATGTAAATTTAAATACCTTTGTACCTTATGAACGATTTCGGCTTCATTTCCTGAATTAGTGAATACCAGCACCTTCTGATTATTGTCAGTGAAATCCAGTATTTTGAGTAACACAGCAGTTCTCTCGCTGTTCATGCAAGGTTGCACTACCTAGAAGTACATAAAAAAGAGAGAAGTTGGTAATTCACGGAATCCATAACTATTTTACTATATAATTATTCCTTTTAATAAGCACTAAGTATTATTACGTAACACCAAACAGAATCCAGCAAATTCTAGCTCCAGTATCACTAGGTCTTCTGTTAAGCTTAAGAGAAGATACAAGTCTCACAGAAGGTATGCATCTAGTACAGCTTCCCGAAGCACGATGAAAACCCATCACGATCAATCTCTCATATTTAGATTGGTTTAATTTTAGGTGATTTATTGATCTTTAGATTCAGCATTTGCAAGTATCACTGTAAAAGCTCCACACTCCAAGAGCATACTGGGCTACCTGCAATACTCTTAGTAACTAAAGCCATCAAAACACTCTTGGTCCTGCCACACCATTAGACTTCTCACAAAGTGGTGTTTTCTCAGTTTTGTGTCTTGCTCAGAATGTTTAGCCTTACACACTTCCCAACACTCCCAATCTCCAAATTTCTAGATTTTGAGACACAGACGAATTCAAATCATACATCGTTTTGTATTATTCTTAAGGGCTAAACCACATCGACTGAAAATGAAATGAGAAGACACCTAAAATCATTTAATGACTTTCTGGAAATTCTAAGTCAGATTAAAGTTCTGTATTGTGTGGCACACAACAGTAAGTATTTTACTAGCATCGTCTTGGGATAACTTACCTTGTAACACTTTCACTCACACTTAAGAACTGCAAAAATATTCTGATAAAATTCTGGTGACAAACTATACCATTCGCAAATACCTCACATAAAATTCAGATTTATTTGCACTAAGAATTAAATACCCAAGGCAGTATCTTCACCTCAGTCCTACAAAGCAAGGCAAAAAACCTTCAGCTTGTTCAGTGATTAATTTGCACAGGTCTGTAAGTCACCTCAGCTCACACGCAGGGGGTACACCTGGACAGTGCGAGTTAGGATTGTAGAACTACCTACTTCAACAATCAGTACCCACATACACAGACCTTCACCAGTATGAACAGCAAAAATATTTTGGTAAAGAAATAGTGACATTGTCCTCAAATTTCTACCTGCTGCACATTTCCATAGATGGAAGCTTCTTCTACAGCTGTTATCACAATGTAAGGATCATTCATGAACTCCTTTATCATGTGTGCTATATGTTTATTCCAGCGAGTTCCAACAGCAATGACCTGATGTGGCGAACACTCCCATTCTTCAGCAATAATTGCTTTCTTGTAACAATCTAATATAGTAAAAACCTATAAAGCAAAAAAAATCTCTCATCCTCTTATTGGAGTAAGCACATAACAGCAATGAAAAAGCACACTGTTTCAGCATACTGTTTCAGCCAGCTGCAAAACCGCCACCACAGCAATACACAAATTTCACATCCCAAAATGAAGTGCTGGGTTTGTGCACTTTTATTCTACTACTCAAGTGACTTCTTAAGCAAGAAGAAAGCGACAAGACAACATGAAGGAACTGCACGGGCATGCACACAGGATCCTAAGAAAGATTCTGCCTAGAGAAGATGGGAATCTTGGGATCTGTTCAAATCTGAAAAACACTAAGCCTAGGCAGAAGTAGATACAGGAGGCCAGAAGCAGTCGGCAAAAACTAGGAGTTAAGTAGAAGATAAATCCAATGTGCTAATACAGTAATTTGCGAAGAAAATAATTTTAAAACTAGCAAAGCACTACCATAGTAAGAAGTATTCTGAGGCTGGGGCACAATTTTAAGAGCTCTCTCTCAGCCTGGCACTAAACTACACTCACAGCAGCAGTGTTTTTAATAATCTGATTTTCTTTAACACAACGCTTGAGAACACCTGCAACAATCCAAACATTTTCAAACTATCACTTCCATCTGAAAGAGCACATCTTCTTTTTCCTATTCAAGAACGATGCTTTTGAGAAACTGACAATATTGTACAAAAGCGGTAGACTCATGCACACTATTTTACAAACTACCTCTCCCACAATCTTCATACCGTACACCTGCACTCTGTCTCAAGACGTATAGGAGTACAACAGAAAAAACAGTCTGAACAGAAAGAAGGAAAGTCCAACTAGATAAACATGACATTTCATGTAATTTATGACTTCAGATTTGGGGCTAGAGGCACATTTTATAGCTTCACATATAGTAAACTGGGCAACCTATCTCCATGAATATGTTTCTCCAACTTCTCACAGTTAGAAACACAGTACTTCAGTCTTAACACCAATTTCTAAGCAAGTATTAAGGTAATGATTTAAAAAAACCCCACAACTGACTGTGAGAAAGGGTGCCTAAGCCATTTTTTGCATATCAGTGATGAGGTAACATTCTGTAATACTAACAGAAAGCACCTGTCCTACACAGTCTCAAAGCAGCAATAAAGAAAATATGTATTATTCTTAAACTTGAGGTAAGTCATCGTTTTAAAACTGATACAATACATACATCCTTGTCAACACATGACTTAAATGCTGTCTCTACCAAGATTCTCAAAGTTGGGATCAGCTTCTTCTGCCTGCACTGACATTAAGGCCCAAGGCAAGTTTTTATGATTGCTTGCAAGATTATTTTATCATTCACTTCTGCCCTTCATTCTACAGAGACTGAGGAGCTTACCCACAGACAGTTCCTGGACTGAGGCTACTCAAACAGCACTGGTAAGAGGGAAAAGGAAGTTCCTTACAAGCAAATGATGCAAGTCTTTCAAGTAGATGAAAGGTCTCTACACAGAAACTACTACTACCAAGTTGAAAAAAAAAAAAACAAAAAACCTTGGGAAAATGCAGCACAGGAAGACAAGCATAGTAGAGCAGTAGCACAGAGCAGGACAAGACAGAGTTCTCCAATTAGAAAAAAAACAAAACCAAATTAAACAAATTACAGCTCCACTTCTCCAGTGTTTCATTATCCCAAAAGTATACAGATGTGATTATTTTAACTGCTGGGTTTTTTATCAAAAACACCCCTCAGAGGTTCAGGAAGGGTTTTCTTGGTTTTACTTTTCAGTATGTGCCACTGCTTAAGACACATGCACAACCAGAACAGTATTTTACTAACTGAACACAGTTACACATTTACCTGTTCAGTAGTATCAGATAACAGTACTTCAATCTCATCAAGAATAAGATGGCAAAGTCTACAAAATAATAAAGTGTGATACTCAAACAGTCTCAGGAGGCTATATGGTGTAGTCACAATTACCTCACCTACAAGGAGAAATAAAAGACTTTTAACATCAACTTACAACTTCAAAGAATACTAATAAAATACCACTAGGACATGGAAGTTTTATTAAAAAGACCACATTTGCATTTCAGATGCATCATTCTGAAGCTGGAGTGGGTTGTTTGGTTTTGGGTGGGGATTTTTATTATTTTAAATTAATTTTTATTGATTTATTTACCATAGAATAGAAACATTAAGGTTGGAAAAGACCTCTAAGATAATTCAGTCCAACCATCAATGCAACGCTACCATGACCACTGAACTACATCCTGAAGTGCCACATCTACCTGCTTTTTTTTGAACACCTACAGGGATGGCATTATTTATTTATTACTTATTATTTTATTTTTTTAAATAGAGAACACTGAACTCCATTTCCTGACTTCTGGACAACAATTGTTTTTAGTTCATTAGCTTGTACTGTTCTAACCCTGCATGTCTCCAAGACCCAAGTGGGTAAAACTCAAGAGTTTTTCAAACAGTGAAAAGTCTGAGCATTAGTAAGTTTACAAAGTAAGATGCCACTTCATTTTCCATTGAAGTAATGGAAGTAGAGATAAGAGCTTTGAAACCAGATAGACAGGAGGTAAACAGCCTTTAGAAAAGTAGTTTTAAAAATGGAATAAAGCACACAGCTTAGATATCTAGACACATATGTATGTGTTTGCATGCGTGTATATATATACATAAAAATAAAACCACAGTAATTTGTGCAAATCTACTAAAAGCTTTACTAATAAAAGATGTGAATTGATCCACCAATCTCAATCCTGAATGATGCATGTAAGAATGCAAACTGCTGAAATGAAGTTCTACGCAATCCTTCACAGTTTTATCCGTTTCTTGTTCCTTGACAAGAAGGGTCACTTTTAAAGAGGCAGCTATCAATTAAGGTTTAACAAAAGACCAAACAAGAATAGTAAAACTAAGTGCTTTACGCAAAAAAAACCCCAACTCTTGATGCCATCTAAGTGTTGCTCTCCAAGAGCCAAAACACTGGTTTGTTATCCACACTGTTACAAATCCAAAGGGCACCACCACACAGACTAGGAAGAGAATTAACTCCATCTCTGACAGATCCAGTACCTCTGCGCAGCAACGGATGCTCACATATTAAAAAGCCATCAGAAAGTCTGGTTGTAAATCAAGAAAGTCCACAATTAATTCTAATTCACCTTGATCTTAGCAAATCTCAACCACTAATTTGGCTCAAAAATAACTGTTTTGGAACTTACAGAACCAATGCTGAACATGTAGATATTCAAACAGATTTAATAGCCTTTACTACTACATAGCACTACTGAAGCTTCATGGATTGCTACAGATTTATAGCATTAAAGAAAAATAATTATCACTTTAGAGAACAAAAAGCTTAAGAAGTATAAATTGTTCCTTTCACAACTCCTGCAATTAAAGCAGCCCACATTGTTTTCAACCATAATTAAGAAGACAGGAAGTATTCTTACATCCTCGTATTTTCACACGTCTCGCTTCTTCTTTGTTCTGCCCAAGTATTATCAACATTGGATGAAGCTGTCTGGAGCATCTCCCATATGTTTTCAGTAGCTCAAAAACAAGTTGTGCCTTCTTCCACCCAGGACATAAAATAAGTGCCAGCGGCTACATACATATGTGCAAGATTTTACACCATAGTATTACACAAGAGTTCAGAACCTTAAGAATTGTATCACATCAACATTTAGGGCAAAATCAAAATCTGCACCATGCTCCTTTAAGTACTTTAAAACAGGAAATGTAAAGAGACCCAAGGAACCATACACTGGGGTACAGGGAGACAAAAAGGATGCATGCAGCAACATACAGTAAAAGGTTGAAAAAGAAGCAGAAGCGTCTTGTCTTACTTGGGGTTATACTAGGCAATTTCCACAGGTCCCTTAGATCCTGAGTAATTTTATGTTTCTGTGATCTAACACAAGCTTGAAAATTAATTATGGTATTTAGAAGAACTAATTTAATGACTACATATTATCCCCTTAAAAATAAAGCTTCATGAAGTATCAAAGTGATCTAACATCAACCACTTGTTAGATATTACTCAATAAATACATTTTAGACTCCCACATTCATGCAGTTTCTAAGAAGAGGGTTTATAAAAACTGCTAAGCATCATGAAGATTAACTATGACGGCATTAAATGTATACATTCTAAACGTCCACTATTTTACACATGCACTTTAAAACAGAAAACCTGTTACTACTCTAATATATACATACGCCGCTCCTGTGTGACAAGGCTTTATAGCAACTTGTTGACTGCAAAAATGTAAGAACTGGTGGAATATATAAGAAAGGATCATTTCCCTCATAGGAAATGGCAACTACATCACATCCTCGTGCTACCGGCGGCCAACAGTAAGATTCTGTGAAGTTAGGGCCTGAAAATTTTTTCCGAATAAGTTCCTACCAAAGAAAAAAAGAAATTAAGAGTTTCATATCAAAACCATGTATTTAAAAATTAACAAAGCAAGAAAAAACACAATGCTGAGTGATTTAAAAGCTTTTGACCCACTACATAAATGTTCTTAACGTGCAACACAACAGAAGTTCTTCCGGAATGAGAAGTAGAATTATTATATTAAAACTCAAATCCCATGACTTGTGGCAGTGGTTCATATACCAGAAGAAATATGTACCATTAGTAAGGACTGCATCTCTCCAAAGCTTCCTTTATTCAGCCACATGAACCACCTCCTAGACATTCCTCAAAATTAGGTATTACTGAAATATTTTGTATCTAAAAATTGGGGAATGATACTAATCTTAAAAAAAAAAAAAAAATACAATGTCATATACTACATTAGCATTACCTTTTTCAGATCCTCATAAAGTGGTGCTGTTTCCAGAATTGATGATGGCTCAATTTTGTTGCTAAGACAGACAAAGTTTCTTTCTTCACTAAAATTTTGAAAACTCTGAAACCATACGACAAATAGATGACAAAAGCAATACTTAAAAGGTTTTAGCCTACATGCAACACAAAAATATTGTTTAAAAATATTTTCATGAAAAATAGCCAAAGAAACTGTAAATACATTTTAAATCTTCCTTATAATGATAGTTACACACACCACCAGTAAGACAAATGCTTGCAATCAGTACTTCTTTAAGAAAGATTTAATCAAGATTGTCTTAACACAACTGTCTTAAGCCACTCAAGAGAATGCACTAGAACGTTCTGTGCACAGGTGGCACTCAATTATAACAAAATCAAAACACAATTAAAAAAAACTTAAAACACTTGCTCTGGTGGGTTGGCCTTGGCTCACAGCCAAGCATCCACACAGACACCTGCTCACTCGCCCTCCCCCTCCAGAGGCACAGGGGAGAAAAACAGGGAGAGAAGATTATTCACGGATCAAGAGAGATAGGGTTGTTACTTAACCCTTACTGATGTAGCCAAATCAGACTCAATTTTAGGTTAATTTTTTGCCAATTATACACAGAAGTACTAACTTGGTTACTAGGACACAAAACCAAAGAAACAAACATTTATACACTTGAAAGAACACATTTCCTCCCCATTCCCAGGCTCAACTGCACTCCAAACTCCGCTCCTCTCCCTGGAACATCAAGGCAGGTTACACTCAGACCCACCACGAGGCCACGGGCAGCAGGAGGCCGGGACTCCAGCCAGAACGCAGCGCCTTCCCTCTGCCTGTCCCTCCCTCTCACTTCTCTCTGCTCCAGCGTGGCTCCTCCAGACTGCAGGCCCTTCAGGTACACCCACTGACCTCCTTCCACAAAAAGCAGCCTTTCAGCCCCAACACCACCAAAACCTTCCACATACAAACATATTTGCAGAAGAGAAATGACAATTCATGCCTGAAATACCTGTTGGCTGTTTTCAATTACGTGTGTCTTCAGGAGATCAGAATTTAAGAACTGCAGAAGTCTGAGAAACATACAAATATGTAAATCTAACAGGAGAAATACACAAATACATAAATCTAACATAAATGCCAAAATAAAATGTAGCTTATGAATACCACCAATATTTCTAAGATGCCATGAAGTCATTCACTTAAAAATATTTCTGATGTATCACCTACATCAAGGAGGAAAAAACCCCAAACCCTTGAAGATGAAAGGAAAAAAACCCAGCATTTTGAAAAGAAAATTTAGTATTAGCTTTCAAGTATTTGAAAATAATCCCAAGGAATTTTTTTAACAAACGTTATTGCTGGATTCCTCAACTTCTGAAGAAAATCAGACTGAACTATAGTAAGAGATTTTCTTAACATTTCACAAAAGTGAAACAAGGTATCTTTGCATCAGTCAGAAACTGAATCTAGAAACGCTCCTTGGGTTTACTACACATGCATCAACTGACATACGGCATAGTAACTCCTGCACAAACCAATTCATAGCTGTACTTCCTTAAATTTGAAAACTTTATAAGTCACACTAACAAAAGCAACATAACGTGTTTAGTGCGCAGAAAAATACTTCCCCTTGTTGTCAAGTTATTGTCCAGAAAGAACTGCTATTTGCATTGTAGTATGGGTGAGGATCAGCAGCTTCAGTTTCTCTTCTTCCCAAAAGCATGTGTACACATCTTCTCTTACCCATCTTCTCTTACCCTCCACTCTTCTGGCTGCCCAAGAGTAACTGGCAACATACTACAGCTCCTAATTATCTGATTACATAACTACTTAAAATATTTAACACACTGCACCATACCTATCTGAGCAAACCGCTGTATTTTCCTTCAGAGGCAAACGTGGAATTGCTCCGACAATCTAGAAATAAAAAACAAACACATTTTTAGCATTAAAATAGTGCTAAAAAGAGTAAACTTAGAAAAATTATTTCTTTAGTGTATAAAGTTGAAAGTGGTTTTCTTACCTAACTCCAGGATTCTCCAAATATTTTTGAGAATTTTTGTTCAAATTCTAAGTTTGTTGGAATAAGGCAACAATTCTGATGACACAAAATTCAGAAAACTGTTCAACTTGTTGCTGAACAGTATTTTCTTCACTAAGAATCAAGAACGTGACAAGAACAATTGCCCACACAGAAGAAAAAATTAGTTCAGCGTATCTGAAGCTGGGAACTTGAACTCATACAAACACATACTCATTTTTAAAACAAAATCAAGAAAAATTGTGGGAAGTCTGCACACCACAGACAGGAGGGAAAACAAAGACGGTTTCCCAGCCACACACATGAACCGTCAACGACCATGAACTTAAATTGGATGCTGCAATGCTCCAGGGAATAAGCAGGAGCAGATACTGGATCCTGAGTCTCTCCAAACACGTCTGGTTCTGAACAAGGAACTTCCTAGCATTCATCTTTAGTCACCAGCAATCAACTGGCATGACTTGGTTAAAGACTCCAATCACTGAGGGGACTGGTAAAGGTAATCCAGCTGACTGTCTGCACATGGGTATAAAGGCAATTCTGCTCTGCTTCAGGAACAACCCATACTACCACTTTCATCACCATTCTTGCAAAAATATTTTAATATGGTATTACAGTTCAATTTCAGGAGTAGGTGTCATCTGTCAACTGTGAGGAGAGCAAAGAAAACTGTGTAGTGCAGTCAACTATCACCTTCATAAAATTATAGCAAAGTTGTGCAAAAGGAAGCAAAAACTTCTCAAGGACTGTGAAGTACATTTTATTTTCTGCAATTTAAAAAAGAAACTGAAGTAAAATGTTCAACTATCTGAAAAATTAGTGCAGTCCCCCAGATCTATTACACAGTCTTAAAACCAAGCTAGGTGACCACAGTATTCCTAATCTGTCCTATGTATGTTTTGTTTAGTTAATCTTTGACAACTTAGTACAAAATAACACACTTACAGAGACAGTACTTTCACTTAAGTCTGTGCTTGACCTTTTGTATGTCTCAAGAAAGGAACTGGAAACAACAGCAAGACCTGGAAAGATAGGCAAAAAATTCAACAACACATTTCTGATTATGTGAACACAAAAAAAGCCAGTATTCTAGTACTGTGAGTTGTGACTAATCTGTTTAGGTGTTTGTATCGTTTCCTAATGGCAAGCAGAACTACACAAAGAGAACTATTTTTTGGTTAAGATAACTAGGATGGAAGATGTAAAGTTGAATACTTTCTAAAAAACAGACAGACTTGAATCACTATAAATGAGACAACACATGGTAAACACTAGTTTTAAAGTTGCCTCTGTTCAAAAAAAAAAATCCCTTCAAATTCAAAAGAAAAGTAATGAATCACTGATCAATGTCATAAGTAATTTCAATAATATCTAATGCTATAAAGCCTATCAACAAATGCTTGGGTAACTCGCCCTCAAACCTTTGTCTAACATAGTAGAAAACCTTTATTGTATTCCTGCATCTGATTATCTGATGGGTCTTTGAGAAGCCCAATACATAAGCGTTGTTTGTTAAAAGAACACCATTTGATCCAACTGGTGGATTTGAACCAAGACAGTATGTTCATGTTCAATATATCCATTTAAAAGACACACAATGCGATGCACATAGGATTGTTTCCAACACATGTTTCCCACCTGTTTCAAGATTTGTTGATACCTTCTCCTGAAACAGCACTGGCCTGAAAGCAAGTGTAGGATTAACAATTTTGACTGGAAGAGACTCAATGTTTAATGACATTTGGTTCTCCTGATCATCTGCAGAACTCCCTGTATTCTCTTTAGCTTCCTCAAAACGAGCAAAGTTCTTTGCGACAAGATCATCATTAACGCATACCTAAAAAGATCAAGATCTTTATCGACCAGTATCAACAAGCAATCACTACCACATACTTCTTTAGAATTTATTTGAAGCTTTGAACAACAGCAGTAAGACACACACAGTATTAGTAAACACCTTCTGAACAATATTAACTCCAGAATGGGAAAGCCAGTCATGTTGTCCTGCATGTTCTCTAACCAGGTGGTAAGCAGTTGTCAGTTTCATGCTTCTGCCTCAAATTCTGTACTCAATTAACTTTTTCTACAAGCCCTAAATTTTTTAAAAAACTGTAAGTCAGCTGGTTTATTTCCTTTTGATTCTGTGCGCATCATGATCTGCCAGAAGAAAAAAAACAATACTAAACCTGAAACTTGTTAAGCTCCATTAGCTCAGAGATCAGTGACGCTAATGGCAACTGGGATTCTGAACAGAGAGAAGATACTCTAACACATACCTTCACAGTTATTGTCTATGGCAAAGACCACAGCTCCTGTTGTTAAAAACCCTGGTAAAACACTCCAAGTAGAAGCAGTATTCAAACCAACTGATCTGTATCTACCATACACTACACTTGCTTAAGCCTGACAGTAGCTACAGCAGAGATTTAGCAAAACCTATGCACATTGGCAAGCGGAACTAGCTGTTTCAGTTTTCCTTCCCCCTCCCCCCCAAACACTTGAGGACTCAGTCTTCTACAGAAATAAGCATGAGCTTCTATTTTTTTTCATAATATTATGTAACTGCCTTACTGAAACAGCTGAGTATGATACCACAAAAAGGTGCAAAAGTGCTCTAAATAATTCACAGTTGTCCATTTGAAGTACTTGCTGGACTTCACCTTCCAAGAAAAGGTTCACAAGGCAAAACTTGCTTGAATTGCTCCAGAAGAGTACAAGCAACAAACATAAACCAAAACCTTTTCTAAGTCAACGATTTAGCTTCTACTGTACCTGACAGAAATTAAAAAACTCACTTGCAAATAATGTTTTTCAGTCTTAAGCTAATCACAAAGTTAGAACTTAATAACAAAGTGTATGAGTTTGCAGACAGGAAAGCATCTTACCTTTTCATCTTTTATTGTCACATAAAGGAAAACATCAAATATATTATCTTCTACAGCACATAACTTGGCTTTCATTTGGGTAGCTGCTAAATATAGGAATAAGCACAAGTAAAAAAATTAAATCCTTAGCAAATTATCACTAATTTTTACTTGTACTTTCCAAGATATACAAAAACAGAAATCACAATAGAGTAACTAATACAAACGTACTCATTTCTAAATGAAAAAAGTAACAGGGCAATAAAAACTTAAAATTTCAAAAACAAAGTTGTCCTTAAGTCTTCAAAGGAAGATCCATCAGATTAACGACCTCTCCGCAGAAATGAGGCTTAGTTCTACTCTAAAAGTCTTAGTTTATCTTTTAGCCTCTGATAATCTGTAACAGAAATGCTGACTTCCTAAACCTGACATTTACCTTTCTTGAAAGAAGTTATATTTGCATAGCTTGATTAGGCTCTTCATTCAAGCAAACACAGCCAATGAAGTCTGTTAGTAACTTCTGAAGTGCTTCTGCATACACTTATGATGTGTTAAGCAATTAAAAAAGTCTGTATCACTACTTATGGTATAGTTTGCAAACACCTATGAAATTAGATTGTTAGTACTGCTCTCTGCTACACTTTACTTTGCATAGTGACATCAAAATGTACAGGGGTGAGGAAAAAAAAAAGGTAAATCATGAGAATTACTATGTGCCTGTTACTGTGTGCAATTATCAGCCTAAAGACCCTTTATTGCTTTCATAAACTCATCCTCTCCACTACAAATAGCTTTTATGTTGAGTTTGTTATACTTGTGAGTAAGCAGGTAGGTAGTTTTTTCAGGTAGAAGCATGTAAGCAAGAAGATGAGAAAATCTCAGTACAGACAACTGCTTTCCTATTAAGACCAAAACCTGTCTCATAACAAAAATAGAAGGCTGGATATGGAAAAGATCGGATGACTTAATGAAGCACCAAAAGCATAAACTCATAAACCAGATTTTGCCACCTCTGTACTAAACTACAAAAATACAGCTGTGACGGTGATTCAAAGATTTAAGCTAAATACACAGGAAGGCTCCAATGTTCAAAAGAACATTTTTTTACCCTGTTGAAGAGCCACATATCATCTAGTCACCTATCAAAATTTATGCAACACAGTACTCAAGATGCAGCTCCACAAATATTTTCACCTTACGCCATACAAAAATAACATTATATATTAAAAACAAAAGAAGCTACGTAACATTCTTGAATACTATCAAATACATAAACACAAGCATTACATTTCTCTTAACAGTTTCTTTTTCCCCAAACAGAAGTGTCATTTATGATTTTGGTTTTTTACTTACCCTTTAGAAGGTTTTGAAAATACTGAGTAGCAGCACTATCCCATCTTTTGGCTGGTCTATGAATGTAAACACAACACCACAATCTGTTACCCCATATCATCAAAATTAAACACATGTAATTTTGGAAAAAACTTTGGATGTATATGAAGAAATTATTCTGTCATTCCAAATCTTAAGAAGTGCACCAGATACATTAGTAAAACCTTAATGTAACTTCAGCCTTGACAATATTGCTTCAGTTCCTTGTTAAAATGAGCTGATGAAACATTACTGCATATTGCTTTGTCAACATATGATAGCTTACATCCAACATAAAACATGATGGTTAGAAACGAAACAGAGTAACCAAAAATGAAGAATGCACTTGTAGAACATATTAAACAGGTAGTGAGCAATTTGAATAAAGACTTAAACAGCAGAAAATCAAATTAACTCTTACTATGTTAATAGTTGTTCTGTCAGAAACTTCTGGGTGGAATACAGTTATTAAACTTTACTTACACTATTTTTGCAGTATCTTCACATAAGTCGACACGCAATGTCACTGGCTTTGTGCGATACAGTCTACACTTTTTAGCTCTATAGGGGATCTGCATAAATGCTTCCAGTGCAACTCGAATGCTTAAAAACAAAGTGTAAAATCTCATTTTACAGAGCAGATTTTATACTCTAGTCATCAGTCTCATACGCATTCCATTACTCTGCATCTGACAGCATCTTTCTTGCACAAGTTTGGTTCCCACCATGAAACACCCTGGAACTCATGTTTTATTTTTGTCTCCAAGGGAGTTGCTACCAGGAGCAATTAATGAACACATTTGCTCCAGACATGAATACCCTTCGTATTTACTCAAAATCTTTCTGACCCTTCTCCACTACAGTTCCAAGTATTTTCATGATAGTTGGCCCTCATACTACTGCATATACTACCTGACACTGCATACTCCATTTTTCAGTTATTACTTCTGTGTGAGAAACCAGGTGTAATTAGCATCAGCAAGAAGGAAATCTAATAAATACACTAATTTGCATTTGTACTCATTTTCATAAAATGAATTTATATTTAACACTCTAGTGATAACTTTATAAATCTTACCCTTTACACTTGGCTTGGTTGAAGGGTTTTAATAAGCAGCAAGACACCATATATAGCAAGGTTTTAAGATTCATATATTTATCACTTCTGTTTACTTTTTAAATTTTACAATGAAAAAGCAGTAAATCACACATTTACTTTAACTGTTTTAAAGTGAAGGCACTGTAAAGTTGTTTTCCAATATAGCAATTCTCAATTTAAAAACATTATTTAACTTGATACTTATTTTAAAGTCATATTTTCAAATTATATTTTAAATAAGCTCTCTTAATTTAAAAACCAAAACAAACTGCTAAAGCTTCTTGTCCTCAAAGCTGCATATTTTATTAGTGAAATGAATCTTAAGTCCAGATAAGGGCTGGAACAATTATTTTTCAGAACTCATTTTTCAAGATTTCAGAAACAGCAGGTTTCATAGTGTTTTTATTAAAACTCAGAACCTGAGAAAACTCACCTTTTTTTTTGCACCATGCCAGACTGTCAGCTCTTTGCAAAGTAGACAAGCTAGTAAACTGCAGTGGGAACAAACCCACGTATTGTTGTCTAGATGTCAAAAGCTGGGTCAGCAAGTGAAACCCTGCTTCCATATACACTTTGCAAGTGATCCCTGGTCATAATTTTTTACATTTGTATATATACTAATTTAATAAAGGAGGAATGTATACATCAATGTTAACTGGCAATCATACATTTCAGTCCTAAGAAGCTAACATTATTTAAATCTTTAAAAAACTCCAAAACCTACAACAGAAACAAACAGAACAAAGCCTGGTTTGCATCTACACTTGCAAGGGCCTATCATACGCCCAGCAGTTTCCCATGGATTCAATCTACATCTCAATTAAACCAAAGCCTTGTCACTGTGAATCTAAATAAATATTAATGCTATCTGCACGCATTAACTAACAAATATATTTCAGTGACAGTGTCAAAAAATCCAACACTTACTCATTTGATTTAACAATAATGTATTTGGCATAATCCACAAGAAAGCATTCTATCTGATAATCATGAGTACAAGACATGATTGACTTAATAACCGCTCTACACCAGCATTTAAGTTTCTCACTGAAAACCACACAAACCTGAAAAACAAAGAATAAAACAGCAGGTTCCTGTAAATGGAATAAACTACACTCAAAAGATTTTTAGAGGCAATAATATAGTATTTTCTCAATTTTCTTTTCAAAATGCAAACAGTGCAATTTATGCAGTTATGAACTTTACAGATATGATAACATATACAGATGCCATTATCTACTTTTCTACACAGTAATATTACAAAAAGTTTAATGTCTATCTGAGATACTTCACCTCCAAGCCCACACAAACAACGCATTATTTCTCTCTACCTGCACAAGAGAGCAATGATTTTACCTGGCCTTCTTCTACCATTGGTGGTTTTACTTCATCTACATCTTGACAAGATTGGTCATAGAATTGATTCATTTCAGCATTCCGGTTCTTATACTCCATTTCACTGACTACGTAAGGTCCAAATTCTTTCAAGGTAACCCAAAAGCAACCTGGATCTTCAATCTGGGGCAAGGAGTAGATAACAGTAACAAATACTATGCTCCTGTTAAAATTATAGGATTTTTAGAGAACATCTAAGCAGCAAATGTAAAAATAAATCTCCTGTGAGTCACCATTATGGTGACTGATACTTAGCATGAATGTTAACCAACACCTTTCAACTTCAGACCATTAGCTCATTAAATGGCTTCTAGGCTTGCAAGTTTCTCTAGCTTTGCAACTAATGGCATGTGCTGTATAAAAGGTAGTAGCATTCAGCAAACACTAGGTAAAGTGCAAAGACGTAAAGCTTTTCACACTGTCCTAAAGTAGTATGTATAAAATACCTGAAACACAAAACAAATCCCACCAAAGGGCTTTTCTTCATGCTCAGAGAGTCTGCAAGACACTTTAAACAGGTGTTTCTGCTCAGCCTTTGTAATCTTTAAATCTCAGTCTCTCTGCTGATCTGGGTCTCCAGTAGCTGGGCATTAATCCCAGCGGAGAGCTGAACACCACAGAGGTGCTCTCTCACCCCCCTGCTGCGGGATGACCAAGATAAATGGAAGGCTGAACATGAGAAAAACTCAAGGGTTGACATAAAAACAGCCAAATAGGTAAAGCAAAATAAGGAAATGCCCTCTTTCCCACCGACAGACAGACATGTAGCCATTTCAGGGAAGACAGGGCTCCATCATGCATTAACACTGACTTGGGAAGATATATTTGGTAAGCACAGACATCCCCCTTTTCTCCTCCTTCCCTTGCAACTTTTATTGCTGAGCATGACATTAGATGGTATGGAATACCCCTTGGGTCAGCTGGCCTGGCTGTATTCTGGGAAAACGATTTTTCCACAGTCTTTTGGGGAATTCAGCAGAGTCTAGTACTGTACTACAGTCTATTTAAGACTTAGTTGCACATCTTCCACTTGACATATTTAGCTGCACCCCTACTGATCTCTTTAAAGGTGAGGCCCATATAAAATCTAAAAAAAAGATGACAAAACATGTATCATCCATATACGACCTCGCATGTGTAAGTAGATACTGCCAAACAGAAATATAGAGACATCATCTATTTTTATATCTGACTTCCAGAAAGTTGCATTTACATAAACAAGCAGCAATCCTTTAGACTTTTGGCAGTATACCTCTAACAACAAGATCTCCATGTTTCTCAGCTGGAATCTTCCTCAGCACTACTGTAAATGAAAAACAAACATTTCATTAACCACTTTTAAAGCCACCATTTGTTCTGATGCCTATTTATGAGCATACATCTAAAGCCAGCCTAGAGATTTTTGCTACTGTCCTCAGGAGTATCAGTCTAGGCAGCTGATTTACACATACCAAAGGGTTCAAACCATCTTTCTTAATGAGGCATTGTATTAAAGCCAATTAAGATTTGTCATCAATGCTTATTTACATATAACCACATCAGTTTTTAGTACGACACATATCTGCTACCCTCAAGCTACTTACATTCAAGGACCAATAGAATCAGCCAACTGCAGACAAAGGCTGCTACAATCTATCTACATGACCAAATGGACAGAAACACCTGTGGAAAAGGATTACATAATTAAAAAAATACGCTAAAACCAAAACAGCCTAAGACAAAAGAAAAGTCCCAACCTTTGTAGCCAATATTAACATAACAGAGATTTTTACCAGTATTTCACATTACATCCACCTGCAATGGGACATATTGAACTTAAGAACTACAACAGAATAATATATTATCTATAGACTTAAGTAGTTTGTATTTGATTTTAGCACAAACCAGGACAGTGTCTAGCCTCTTCCTTGAAAGAACTCACATTGGAAGTAGATGCCTAATAAAATTTTTCAGAAGAGGAAAGTCAAGACTTTGGCTTTCCAATTCCAAAGCCAAGGTTGAATGAAGAAGTGCTGAAATAAGAGGCAATACAGCTACACTGTGGTTGTAACTACCAATATGCTTGGCTAGGAGGTGGTCCGAATTATTTACAGTTTAACACTCCAATAAAACAGCTGAAACTATTTTATAAGCCTTGCCTAGCATCATATGATACAAGCACACCATCCAGGTTACACATAAGCCTTAAACACTGCATTAAGATGTGCTACAACGTGGGACACATATTGCTGCCTTAGGCACTTAGGAAAAAAAAATAAATCCCTTTTATTTCAGGAATAACATACAAGAGGCATAAACAACCTCTCCCAAACTCTCAGCCTCAGAAGTGCAAAACCTATAAATGACCTACAAAAGTACAAGGGACACCCACATAAAAGGCTCTTCTAATACATTCACAAGACCAACACACTCGCCTCACTAACAACTCTCTAAGAACACAAAGGATTGCTCCAACGCCGTACCTCACGCTAAGGATGTTCACCCTGTAAAGATGCAAGAGATCACTAAAGCCCTTGTCCCTAACGCCCACCACCAGGAAAAGGAGAAGACAAGGGGCTCCTCCACAGCCACCCCAGCCCGACACACACGCGCTCCCGGGCCCCTCCCTCCGGCCCGTCCTGCTCGGGGCATGAAGGCCGCACCCAGGGGGCACCGCTCAAGGACAGCGCACGGCACATCGCAGAAAGCTCCCAGCAAACTAGGGCGCTTCTCTTGCTTTATTCCCCCCCGGCTTCCTTCGCGTTCTGCCTTATTTTGACGCCCTTCCTCGTAAAAA